CAGAGAAACCCTGTCTCGAAAAACAAAAAAAAATAAATAAATAAAGAAAGAAACACTAAAATTGGTTACCTAAAAGGAGGGATAGATTAGCCCTTAATGTAATTCTATATTTTGTAATGTTACATATAACTGGAAAAGCATAATTATATCAAAAAGAAAAGTAGGTGACATCAACATTGAGCAATAATTACTTTAGGTAACAAAAAGAGTGTAGTGTATTACTTTTATTGGCTGTTCCACCACCACCTCCACCCATTGGACCCTGTAAACTACAAGACCCACTCTGCTATTCAAACCCACAGAACCCATCATCCTCCCCCTGGCCAACCATCCCCCACAAAATCAGCAGCCTCTAGAGGCACAAGCACTACCTGCACAAACTGGAAGAAGAGCCCCTAAAAGCCCAAGCACCACTGGCACCAGCTGGAAGAAGAGCAGCCCCCACCCCATGAACAGCCCTCTCCAGCAACATCAGCAGATCCTATAGGCACAAGCGCCACCCACATCACTTGGAAGAACAGACACAGGCAAAACCTACATCAGCTGGAAGAACAGACCCCATAGACACAGGTGCAACCCAAACCAGTTGGAAGAACAGACCCCACAGGCATAAGTAAAACCCACACTAGCAAGAAGAACCAGATGATACTCTGGATCTAAGCACCCAAACCGCCACAAACCTCAGCTGAGACAACCATACTCAACCTGACAACCAGACAATCATCAGAATCCTTGGTCATTCAGGGTGAAAGAGAATAAATGAAACAGACAATAAAGGAACAAAAGACCCATCCAACAAAGACATCACAAGAATCAACACCTGTTCCTATCATTATCCCAAACCCAGTTGGGTAAATGGTAGTGTAAGAATACATTCAACAACATAAAGAGCAATGTGGCACCACCAGAACCTAGTGATTCTGTAACAGCAAGACCTGAACATCCCAATACAGATGAAACAGAAGAAAATGACCTTAAAAATAACTTTATGAAGATGATAGAGGCCCTTAAAGAGGAAATAAAAAATTCCCTTAAAGAAATCAAGGAAAGACAAACAAAAAATTGGAAGAGACCAATAAATCCTTAAAGAAAGTCAAGAAAAAACAATCAAACAGGTGAAGAAAACAGTTCAACACTTGAAAATTGAAATAGAGGCAATAAAGAAAACACAAACCAAGGGAATTCTGGAAATGGAAAATCTGGCTAATGAACAGGAACTACAGATGCAAGCAAAACCAACAGAATACAAGAGATGGAAGAAAGACTCTCATGCATTGAAGACACATTAGAGGAAATAGATTCATCAGTCAAAAAAAATGTTAAATACAACAAATTCTTAACACAAAACATCCAGGAAATCTGGGACACCATGAAAAGACCAAATCTAAGAATAATAGGGATAGAAGAAGGAGAAAAATTCCAGCTTAAAGGCACAGAAAATATATTCCACAAAATCATAGAAGAAAACTTTCCCAACCTAAAGAAGGACATGCCTATGAAGATACAAGAAGCTTACAGAGCACCAAATAGACTGGACCAAAAAAAAATCCCCAACCAAAAAAAAAACAAAAAAACTAACATACAGAATAAAGAAAAATATTAAGAGCTGCAAAGGAAAAAGGCCAAGTAATATATAAAAGCAGACCTATCAGAATTACACCCAAATCTTCAATGGAGACTCTGAAAGCCAGAAGGTCCTGGACAGATGTTTCACAGACATTAAGAGACCAAGTATGGCAGCCCAGACTACTATACCCAGCAAAACTTTCAATTACCATAGACCAAGAAAACAAGATATTCCATAACAAAACCAGATTTAGACAACGCCTATGCACAAATCTAGCCCTACAGAAAGTACTAGAAGGAAAACTCCAACCCAAGGATGTTAGCTGAACCCATGAAAACATAGCCAATAGATAATCTCACACCAGCAAATTCCAAAGAAGGGAAACACACACATGCTATCACCAACAACAAAACCAAAAAATAATGGGAATGAAAAATCACTGGTCATTAATATCTCTTAATACCAATGGACTCAATTCACCTACAAAAAAGACACATGCTAACAGAATGGATATGAAAACAGGATCCATCCTTTCGCTGCATACAAGAAACACACCTCAACTTCAAAGATAGACATTACCTCAGAGTAAAGGGTTGGGAAAAGGTTTCCCAATCAAGTGGACCTAAGACACAAGCTGGTGTAGCTATCCTAATCTCTAACAAAATAGACTTCAAACTAAAATTAATCGAAAGAAATGGAGAAGGACATTTCATATTCATCACAGGAAAAATCCATCAAGATGATGTCTCAATTCTGAACATTTATGCCCCAAATACAAGGGCAACCACATTTGTAAAGGAAACATTACTAAAGCTTAAATCACATATCAAACCCCACACATTAATAGTAGGAGACTTCAACACCCCACTCTCATCAATGAACAGGTCTGCCAGATAGAAACTGAGAAATAAGGAAACTAACAGATGTTATGTGAAGCATTAATCTGTTTAGTCTTAATCATAAAAACCCAGAGTCAGATATTAGGATGAAAGCTGAAATATCTGAGAAGCAGAGAAGCCATCCACTAGAGACTTCTTACCTCTAGAAATCCTCAGACTGAATGGGCCCAAAATCCTTTCTCCACCCACCTTATATTGTGCTGCTATCAAGGGCATGAGATCTCAAGTGCTAGGATTCAAGGCATGAGAGTCAAAGTACTGGGATCAAAGGTATAAATGATCACCACCTGGCTCTGTTTTTCTTTTAGACTGGTTCAATCTTGTGTAGCCCAGAGTAGCCTTGAACTCCTGATCTTCCTGCTTCTTCTTCCTAAGTGCTGGGATTAAAGGTGTGTGTCACCATTGCCTGGCCTCTATGGTTAACTAGTGGATAGCTCTGTCCTCTGATCTCCAGGCAAGCTTTATTTGTCAGAACACAAACAATATCACACAACATTTACCCCTTTTTTGTCTAAAATAAAAAGTGAAGGTTTCAACTAACATTGAAAGATATATACAATAAGTACAATAACTATATAAAATATATAAAGACAATAATTACTATAGTGGGAATTCATTCCACCCATGACCTAGGGCTATCTGGCTTGATGGAGGTGATGCTTCTTATCTGCCTATGTGACCACTTAAAAGGGAGGAGAAAGGGGGTCATGCCGAAGGATGTCTTTTTGTATGCTGTGAATATATATTGTTCCCATTAGTTAATAAATAAGCTGCTTTGGCCTATGACAAGGAGAGAGACAAGAAAGAGAAAGGCAGAGTCTGGAGAGACACCAGCCTGCTGCCCAAGGAGAAACATGGCAGCAGACTGGTAAAGCCATGGAACATATGGCAAAACATAGATTAATAGAAAAGGGTTAATTTAAGATATAATATATAATCATTCAGAGGCTTAATATTATTTGTAAACTGTATGACCTATGGCAGGACTCTTGCTAGCTAGCTCTTATATCTGCCTTTCTCTTTCATAGATATAAGAGCTAGCTAGCAAGAGTCCTGCCATAGGTCAATTTATTAAGGGGTTCTATGGGGAAAACAAACTCACTGATATAGGATAAGGTAAATCCAGTTGCAGAGTCCTTGGAAAGCTGAGGACTGATCACACATTGCTTCACCATCCAAGAGAGCATGACCCTGTAGCCAGAA